GGCAGGCGGGGAGGGGGGGGGGGGAGAGGGCGAAGAAATAAGGTGTCCCTGCTGCATACATGCTTGAATTATTTTTATGTTCCTCTGACACTTGCTCTTTTTGCATTTTAAGTGAGATGGTCACAGACTGTTTCAGGGCTGTGCTCTAAGCCAACGTATATCCTTCTTTGCGCGAAGCACATCTCCTCCCTTCCCCCGCTGCATAATAAATGGGATGTCCTTGGATTGCACTGGTGTATTTTGTATGCCAGGGAGAGACTGGTTTGGAGGCAGAGGTTAGCACTCGGGAAGGGGGAAAAGTGTTGAATTTGCATATCTATTACCATTAATAATTAGGACTGCATGTATTGAAATAGCTCCCGAAAGGTGCCAAATCATGTAGAGGACATTCAAAGGGAAGTACTCACCAGCTGCAGGGAAGGTGGCACATCAGTCCCCCAAAATAGTGGTTAGCTCACAGATATAGTGAGTGAGTTGTAAGGAGGGCAGGAAGAGGAGGGAGAAATGAGGCCTCCAACCTTCCTTGCCGCAAATTTAAGCCCATTGCTTCTTACTCTATCATTAGTGGTTAACGAGAACAATTCACCTTCCTCCTCCTTGTAACATCCTTTTCGCTACTTGAAAGCAATCATCATGTCCCCTCTCAGTCGTCTCCTTTTCAGACTAAACAGCCCAGTTCTTTCAATCTTCCCTCATGAATCGTGTTTTCTAGACCTTTACTCATTTGTGTTGCTCTTTTCTGGACCTTCTCCAGTGTCTCCACATCTTTCCTGAAATGTGGTGCCCAGAACAGGACACACTACTCGGAAAGCACTCAAGTTTGGTCTAACTCTGCTGCTATGGGAACTAGCCACTAGCTCCTCTTGACTCTGTGAGAATGGAGGTCGGCCAACGCTGGGTACTTTGAGGAGGAATAAGGAGAATAAGGCTCCACATTCTAGAGCTCAGTGCTCGCTGTTGGAGCCCGATTTTCAAAAGCCTTCCGCTCCTGCTGCAGCACCTGTCAGGGGCAGGTTTTCACAGTGCACGGCCCTTCCAAAGGCTGCCACATGCTGCCCATTCTAGGCCAAACACATGCAAGATCTTTGGCGTCCGTCTCAAACTCTGCCAGTGCCACTGGGACCTACTATATTTGTGGTCCTCGTGTGAGCAGATCTATTACTGTGGGTTTTGTGACCTGGGCAAATATCTCTTGATGAATTAATTGGTTCAGACACACGAGGGCCTGAGTCTCATTTATACGAGGGGCTCTTCACACTCTCTGGCAGCATAAAGGCACGTAATAGTGCGTGTCAATGTAATTTATGCCCATTATATTTTTTATTAATTATCTATTTATTTCTTTGCCATTGGTTTATTTGTATTATGGCCATGCCTAGAGGCTATGACAATCCTCAGCTGGGACCCTGTTGTCTTAGGACAGGTGTACACTAAAAGGGAACGTCAAATGAAGATACGCATCTCCAACTATGTTAATTAACTATGTTAATTATCATACGTTGTTTTGAGCTTCCCAGCAGTCCCTTCAGTGGGAGGCTGACAAGAGTAAACACTCCCGTTGGCTTCCCTTGCTTCTAGCACAAGCAGACATACTGGCTGCCCACTGGGGCTCCCTCTTGTTCAATTTGGTTAGTCTTAACTAGTCTCGCTAATCAAACACCAGAAGAGTGATCACAGCAATGTCAGTCTTCCGTTTAGTGAAGACGTGGCCTCAGTCACTAAATCAACGTGGTTCCTGCCCCAAAGAGCTGACAGTCTAAGAACACTTTAGACCATCAGAGTGGTAGAAAAATCTAACCCTTACATATTTCCCTTGTGACCGTAACTAGATTTCAGCCTAGGTCATCAGGATAAAAGTCAGTGATTTAACACTGATTTTCCATCTAGCTGGACCACTCGGCTTATCTTTTTGAAACTTTTTTGCATCTGATGAAGTGGGTTTTACCGACTAAAACTAATGTCTAATAAATGTGTTAATCTCTCAGGTGCCACGAGACTGCTTGTTGTTTTTATAGCCTCCTTTGGGAATACATAGCTGTAAAACTGGCATGTAGTTCCAGGTGACAAATTCTCCATCCCTGGGAACTGAAATGAAGGTTGAATGGCTTTATAAGGGACACATTGTAGTTCAACTACAAGTCGCTGGGCAGGAGCTAGTAGGTGAAATCTGGGCCTATATACTTCAGGAGACTCAGACGGCTCCATGCTGACCTTAGAATCTATGAATTCAATAGAAATATAGTGCTACATGACAATACTACTTCTACTACTACTACTACTACTACTAAATAATAACAAATTGAATGGAAGGGTGACAAATCTGTTTCCTAATTACAGAGATACATGTAAATCAGACAAACCAGTCTTAATTTATTGAACAAGATGCTACTTCAGTAAGATTTTGGGAAGAGAATTTTTTCTCTGTTTTTCTCTATTTTTCTCTATTTTCTCATTTTTCAGAAATGGCTGAACTCTTAAAGTGACATTTGCATGGGTGATGGAATAGATGTATGCAAAAGCGCAACATAATTAACTAGTGCTTGGCATTATGAAGATATTTCTCGTCGAGTTTGTAACTTTGGGTTACGTTACCATGTAAGTGCTATACATTGCTGAAATAGAAGGCAATACAATAGAAAATACTGGAGCATACATAGTAAATTACTGACATTTCTGAAGTGCCCAGGAGAGAAAGGTAAAGTTTAAGTGCCACTAGGATGTTTAGAATCCTTTATAGCATATTTAAATAGCCTTATGTTCTGTGGCAGTATACACCCTTTTGCTGGTCTTTCTTTTTGAAAGGAGAAATTGTCTGAGGCTCTGAAAACATTCGCGTTTATATTGTATATTATGACAAAGCTTTTCAGTGAAGTGGAGATGTATTGGCATATTCGGGGCTGAGAAGAGAAGATCATTTGAGATGCAGGGTAAAAAAAAAGATGATTCTGAAACCAAAACTACCTCTTGAAAATGGATCACTGTAAGCTAGATCAGGTTTTCCACTCATTTGACTACAGAAAACTCCATGATTAGTTCCTCTTTAAGTATCTGTTAAAAGAATAGTAAGGTTGCAAGGCACAGTAATCCAAATTCTGGACATGTCAAAAGTAAGGTTGCCGGTGCAAATGTATTCCTTTGTCCGTCTGTGCATTATGGCACAGTGTTTTTACACAATCCCATTCTTTATTGTCCACATATTTCCCTACTTTCAAAAGAAGACATAGTGAAGACCCGATTGAAACTAGGCAATGTTTTGTGGTTTCCACAGGAATCCCAAAATAAGTTGAGATTTGCTCACAGAGTGCAGAGAGAGTTATGATTTTATTATAAATCCCCCACAATGGTCTAGTTCTGCACTGTTCTATTACCTCACCTGTGCTTGTGCAATGCATCGTGCCCCTCAAAACCAGATTCTGCTGTCTCCACTCAGAAGAGACATCAAAGCCAGTGAGACTCCTTAGGTGAGTAAAGGAATTTGGGTTGGGCTAGTCAAAGTGGGTCTAAATGAAGGAGTGCGAGACACTTGCAAAAAAAATGACACTAAGACTTTCTTGTGACTGGCAACATTCTGTGACAGGCTCAGGGTGAAACGCTGACTCCACTAAAATTGACGGCAGCAACTCAGTATGGCTTCAGCAAGGCTGCCTTGGATTTCATCCGCACCAGCGACAATAGTCTCTTCTCCTTTGAAATACAAATTTCCCTGGAAAGGATCTCATGGACTGATGTTAATAGCTGAGTTACACTGGGCTTGTTTAGTTTGGAAAGGATAAGACTGAGACAGGACATGAGAGCAGTTTTCAGGTATCTAAAAGGGTGTCACAAGGAGGAGGGAGAAAAATTGTTCTTAGCTTCTGAGGATAGGACAAGAAGCAATGGGCTTAAACTGCAGCAAGGGAGATTTAGGTTGGACAGTAGGAAAAAGTTCCCAACTGTCAGGGTGGTTAAACACTGGAATAAATTGCCTAGGGAGGTTGTGGAATCTCCATCATTGGAGATATTTACGCGCAGTTTGGATAGACATCTATCAGGGATGATCTAGATGGTGCTTGGTCTTGCCATAAGGGCAGGGGACTGGACTTGATGACCTCTCAAGGTCCCTTCCAGTTCTAGTGTTCTGTGATTCTAGGATTCTGCCTTTGAGAGAGAGACCTGTGTGCCTAATGATCTCCGGATGAGGTGTTCCCAAGGTGCAGAGAGACTTTGGAAAAGGGTTGGCTGGTGGAGCTGTCACAGGTGTGTAGCGGGCTGTTGAAAAGGGATAATAATTGCACTTGATTTGCCAGGTGCACTGCTGAAAAATAACCCCAGGTGATAATTTCATCTTTGGGTGGCATGTTGCATTCTCAGAAGCTAATTGAAGTGCTACCCAATTTTACATGAACTTATTTTAAAGGATTTAAATGGACCGTTTTAGTAATTTCCAAGACATTTGCTCATCCTAGAGTTTCAGCTGGGCACTCAGACGCACATGACACCAACATCCAAGATTATGTTCTCATGCTCCAGGCTGTTTCCATTAGTTGGCGGAATCATTTAAGTGAAGATGATTAAAGAATACATCCCATGATCAAAGCCATCCAGCCATTGGAAGGCTGGCCATATACCTTCTCCAGTGGACCTGTGTGACGTAGTGAGGGGTACCTTGCTGGTTGCTATGCTGGGCAGTGGGTTGTGAGTGCCCCCCACTGGCTGCTGGCTGCAGCACGGCCCAGCAGGGCAGGGGATGAGTCATTATGCAAGGGGGCTTCGAACCTGTCTGACGAGTATCTCCCAGGGAGCGGAACAATGGGAAGAAGGGGAGTGGAGCCCTGGCTGGGGGCAGGGCTGGAAGAGAGTTTTAGTTTCTGTCTGGGATCATGGAGGAGACAGCCTAGGAAAAGGGGCTGGGATTTAGGGGCCCAGTCTCCCCCATCTCAAGGGGGGGCTAAGGCATCCTAGCCCCAGTTCCTGTGACCGGATTACATCTGTATCCTGGAGGAGCAATAAACTCCCTCTATTCTACTGGCTGGTGGAGTCAGTTTGTGCCACTACGGGGGTGCAGGAGGCAGGGGACCCCAATGCGCCGTCACAACCTGTTCACTCAAAGAACTGAGTCTCTGGTTCTCTAGGCTGTGTAAGCTCCCAGCGTCTCTTGAGTTCCGTGCAAGTTAGGATCCTAAATATGTGTGAGGATCTGGTCCCGAGTTTCTTTTGTGATGAAGTAGTTTGAAAATTCAGTGCTTGTGAGAGAATCTGGAAGGGCGCTTTGGTAAGGTAGGTGCCCGTATTTTGCCGAACAGGGACATCTATGCAGATTGAAAGTCCAGGCTTGCAGTCTTCACTCAGGCAAAGCTGTCATGAGTCTAGCACCCATCCTGATGCCAAGTGGGGCTTTACTCCATGACAATCCCATAGGATGTGCTCCTGAAGCAAGGTTCTGCTCAGTATGAGGAAGGATGGCAGAATCCAAACCTGGGCTAAGCCATTGCGTGAACGCTGCCTCTTTGGTAGAAATGTCTGTTTTAAAAAAAATTCAAGTGTTCCCCTTTGTAACCAATGTGACCCGGAAGAGTCCATGTCAAGTGAGCTGTGGATGGTTTATTGCCAGTTCGCTTGCAATTCCTCAGCTTCTGCATTGCCTGACAAATGCTGCGAGCTCCTTTGATGATTTACAGGGAAGTAATTCTGAACATGGCAAAGTGCAGTTCTGCTCTGAATAACAAGCTGTGAAACGCAGCTGCATGGGCGTTTTGGATGCAACTGTGCCTCCTTCGGGGTGCCACCGAGCAGAGAGGGGCAGAGAAGGCGTTTTGCCAGAACTTTTCTCTGCAGAACATTTGGGATGGAGCTTTGGCTTCATGCACGAGAATTTCGAGGCGTTGCATCTTTTCTGTGCTTCAAGTAGCTCGTATTAAGTGTGGGCATGACTCCCACATGAGCCAAGTTGGGTTCCAGGCACTGGGGTTCAAGGCCATGATTTTCCAAAGCAACTGATGGTTCTGAGCATCACATTTTTTGAGTGCCTGGAACACCATAAAGGAGCCTGATTTTCAGCATATTCAGCCATGCTCTGAGAATCGACACCCTGTAAGTGCCTCAAAGAGACACCCAAAGTCACTAGTCACTTGAAAATCTTCACCCATCTCTATGTCTGCAGATTAGAATATAAATCTCACACCTGATCTCTAGCTGTGTCGACCACAGGCTGCCGAGGCAAGGTGTGGAGCTATTTAAAAATGAATGCACTGAATATAGCACACTCCAGTCTAAAAATGTGCAGTGTGAAAATGGACTGTTTTCTTGTCTATGACTTCTTTGGGATTTCTTTACTTGCTCTGGTTGGAAAATTACAATCTGGTCCACGTGGTTTTTTTCAGAGTCTCTGCAACTACCAGCCGTCCGCCCTTCTGTATGTTTTCCCTAGCTCGTGAGAAAGTTCTGTATTGTTAGAGCTCTCAGCTAAGGACTTGTGAATATAGCAGGATCAGTGTATAACAGATGGCTAAAGAGTGCCTTTGGAATAAGATTGTTGTGTCAAAATAGCTTTGAGCCCTACTATGGGCCTGAGACATGGTAGTTCAATTACAGGACAAGTAGAGAGTCTCTAATGCAAGATCTGGGGACAACTCCTATTCTGTTTTGCAGAAAAATGTGAAGTTGGACATGTCAGAATTGTGAAGCAGTCCTGCCAGGTTCACACTTATATGGGACTTGTCCTGGGACTAACGTCGTAAAAAGCATTCCTCGTTGGCTGGTAATAACTGGGAGGTCACCGTCTTTTGTTTTCAGTCCAGCTCGCTCAGTCGCATGGTGCCTTCACTTCTGTTTTCCTTCGTTTTCTAAAGTTTAGTGAGTTCTTTCTTCTTTTGAGCTGTACATACAATGGTGTATTTTAGTACACACGCTGCTTTCTGCCTCATGCACTCTCCATGCTCCGCATGATTGGGTTTGCAGGCGATTGTTTGATGGACTTGGATTGAGTGGCTCTTGAGGAGGATAAATGTATGTTGGCTTCCCTCCATCAGTTTCAGCAAACTTCACTGTATAAGCTGAACCTCTCTAGCCCAGCACTTTCTGGTCCAGGAACATCTGTGGTCCAGCATGATTTTAGTTAGCCAGATTTCCAGAGGAATAGTCTGTTGGTGTGGGAGAAGCAAATATATACACTGTATAGTGTGGGAAGCTAGTCTGAGAGCAGGAGAGGGAACATCAGAGATTAAAAGAAGCTGATGCCAAATGCCATGAAAGCTGGGCCCTTTTGAATTGCCAGGCCTTGGGGCAGTTGCCCTCTGCCTCTCCCCATCGGTGGGTCTGGTTAAACTTGTAGAGCAAAGTGGTGTGAACCCCAAACGGCTGCTGTTTCCTGACCCTTTGCGGGAGTTCCTGGCCTCCTGGCCCACTAGATTCTTTGGTGATCTGAAGGGAACAAGACAGCTAATGGCCCACTGGGAGTCACAGCGAGGAACTCCCAGACACGGGGCTAAATGGTGATTTAGCTAGCAGCAGGGAAGCTGAGAACACGCAGTAACATCAGCTTAGACATGGTGGGGAGCAGCAGCTGCTGAAATCAACCCCATCCCAGCTGCTTTTTATGTTGTGTATTAGCGAGTGAGGGCAGACTCTTTCTGTGCGGTGGATGAATATGCATGGATGTCCAAAGCCAGTGATGAATATGTCCATGGTTTATCCTGAAATTCAGAACGAAAGGAGCAGAATTTACCAGTGTCTGTTAAGGCAAATAATTGGTAGCAAAAATATAGTGAACATTGACCACTAATACAGTAAAGTTTACAAAACCACTTCTCCGGTAACATCCTGTTCTCGCACAGCCCCAATTCTGTGCGATGTTTACCCACGATTCTATTCTTGGTTGCTATTCCAGAATTACCTTTTTGGGGAGGAGTGTTTGAGTTGTGGGCAGGGGCTGAACAGAATCCTGGGGGGCATTTTTCGTTAGCCATTCTGGAAAAGGTGTTTTATCTCCCAGGTCATCATGTTTTCCCATGTGGATAATTCAGAAGTGGCAGATGATTGGCTCTCTAAAGTGGGCATTTAAGGAGTGCTCAGGGAGAAAGATGTGCTCTAATCCCGCCACAACCTCCCACAACCCATCCATCAGAATAAACTTCTTAAAAAAATGAGAACTCTAGCCATAGAATCTTCACAGTTACAGATGGAAAGGCCCAATCCTGTGCGGTACTGTGTGTAATGTTTGGAAATCCATTTTAGTTGCTTAAGATCTTAACTCCCCTTTGCAAAAAGAAAATGTGTTAGCCCCAGATCCTTCCCAGGTAGGTGTTCAAATATCTTTGAAGATCTAGCTTTTAGGCTCTTGAGTCTTATTGCAAGTTAGTAGGATTTAAGCTTGTAGGTTCCTAAAGGTACTTGTACGCTGCAATGCTATTTCGGGATACCAGAGTGTCCCGAAATAGCTATCCCGCATCTTCACAGCAAGCCTGTTATTTTGGGCTCGCTATTCTGATGTCCCTGTAAACCTCATTTTACGAGGAGTTGAGGACATTTTGGAATAGAGCTTTATTTCAAAATTTGGCGCTGTGTAGAGAGCATCAAATGACCAAATAAGCTATTTCGAAATAGCATCGAAATGAGATACACAATTTGCGTCGCTCAAACTGCATCTTTTATTTCGAGTTACGGTGCAGTGTAGACGCACCCTAAAAGTCCTGTTTCCAAAGTGATGTAGTTGCATAGATGATTTTGAATGCTCTGCAGAGTCGCTTTAAACTAGAGTCAGCAAATCGGGGGCCCTCAGCATAAATGAGAACAGGGGGAACTGTTGGGTGCTGCGTACTTCTGCCAATCTGGTTTCAATTAGATCCCTTAATGAGAGATGACAGCCTGGCTATTACCAGCAAATGCTGTGCAGAATGGCTCCGTCCCATCTGGGGGGCTGAAATCAGGCAATTTTGCACTTACTGCAGAGAAGGTATCCAACGTGGGTAATAGATTTGGGAAATGAGCCATGGCCTTCGAAGAGCTTGCCAAACCTCCTCTGAGAATGAGCGTTCTAGAGTATTACTCCTGGGGTTGTAGCTCAAAAGGTGTGAACTGCAATCAGGAATGATTTTCCAATTGGAAAGACGCATAAGAGGCCAGAAACAAAGCTACCCCACAGTGCAAATGAGAGCTTGCGTTATTTAAAGTCTATTTTGACCCTTGGAAAATTAACACAAAAAATTAATTACAATAAACTAAAGGACAGAGGGACCAGTGTTACAAACAGCCACTTGCTTCGAGGCAGGTGCACTGGTTGCAATACACAGCATAGAATCAAACCAATTCAGCAGACGGATGAGACTGTCCAGTAAATACCTTGTGTCCTTTGTCAGGCGTGTCCACAGCGTAATCCAGAGTTGTGTAAGGAATGCGCAGCAGGCTGAAATCCACCAGTGGATGTTATGGATTGTCCATCCCTGGAAAGAGAGATTGGATCAGGTTCTAGAAAACACTCATCGTTTCTCTGCCTCTCCACTTTGGCTACCCCTCATTTGAACTCAAAACATTTCACAACTCCCCTGTTGCATTTTTACTCTGACTTTTCTAATAAGTGTAGGCAGGCTTAGCTCTCCTAATTGTTCTGTACATGCTAGGGATGTGTGGAGACTGAGATTTTCTTTGTGTTAGAAAATGTTTGTGTTAGTAATAAAACTTTCAACGTCATGTAATGCATCCCCAGTTGTTTTTTATGTCCTCCCCTTGTGGGATATGACACACCTGTGGCGGAACACTGCATCCGTTCCACTAAAGGCTTGGGGGTTTCATGCAGCAATGGCTGGGTGAAATTTTATGGCCTGTGTTTTGCAGGAAGTCAGATGATCATAATAGCTTTAAAATCTATAAATATGTTGTTGAAGTGTTTTTTTGTGTGTGTGTGACTCACTTTCTCCTTCTGGCAAAGGTGCTATAAAAACCCTCGGGTCTTTTCAGTATTTTCCTATTTGCCATTAATGATTGAATATCAGATTTCCTTAACCAAAATACCTACTTTTTTATCTTATCTGCTGCAGCTGCTGCTGGCATTCTCCACTTCTATCTCTTCTCCCCCATACTCCCGGGCCAAATATTACAATTTTAAATAAAAGTCACAGTTGTACAACTTAGTCGTTTCTCTGCCAAACATGCACATACAAGGCTTGGACAAAGGGATGGATTATATAATTGCCACCTGATATTTGGTCCCCTAATGAAAATGGCACAAAGCCATGCTTTCATAAAATCTAAAGCCTATAGAAATGCTCCTCCCCAATTTATTATTTCACTTCCCATGAAAATAGTGTTGTTTAAACCAAATAAACAGTACCAGGCAGTATCTGAATGTACTGCAACCATAAGGTTCTGATTCAGCAAAGTACTTCAGCACCTCCGTATTGAAAACCCTCAATCTGGTGCATAACTTCCCAAGTGTACCAGCACAACTGGGTTGGCTGGAAGATAGTGGGGTGGGGGCAGGAATAGGACTCCACCCACTCCTCACCCTTTCCTGCCCACATGCACAGAAGGGACACTGTATTCTTCCAATCTCCCTTGCTGCCCACATCATTATGTTAGCCAGGTAACCTACGCAGGGGACTCTGTTTTCTTTCCCTGGAAAGGGGTTATAGAACCACAACCTTAGGCAGTGTATATGACTATGGGACTATGGTAAGTTTGCACCCTCTAAGACCATATCTATACTTACATGGAAGTTCAAATTAAGATATGCAACTCAAGCTTCGTTACTTGTGTAGCTGGAGTTGATGTACCTTAATTCGAACTTTAGTGCTGTCTTCATAGCAGGAGTTGGATGGAGCAAATGCTCCCATTGACTTCCCTTACTTCTTGCGATATGGGGAGTACCAGTGTCAACAGGAGCACCCTCAACATTTGATTTAGCGGGTCTTTACTAGACCCGCTAAATCAAACTCTGGAAGATTGACCTCCACAGCGCTGATCTTCCAGGAAGTGAGGACGTGGTCTGAGTGTGAGCTGTTGAAGGGGAAGTAAATAGAACTGAAGAGCCATGCTAGCATAGAATTGGAGCTTGTCGCTTCTTCTTCTTCATTTAAGTCACGGCTCGGTCTGGATGTGATCATATTCCTTATGTATTCAGCATATTGACACAATAGTTGTGACATCCATTCGATTCATGTGGATGTGCAAGATTAGAGGCTATCCACTGATTACACCCTAGCTGACAGGCCTTATTTAATACAGTCCATAGAAATAAGAGACATGTTAGTAGTATTTTAAAATGGCAAAATATAAACACGAAAAGGCCTTAAGGCTCAGCATTTCTTTAAGTAGGAGATCCTGACACAAAGGGAGGTCATGGTATAACCATCCTTCCTTCTGCCCTGCCTTCAGAGCTGGATCACCAGAAACGAGGGATGTTAGATGTCGTGTAATTGAATAATCATGTAACCACATCAAATTTGAGTGGTTACACGACTATTTGATGTTCCCTGGGGGCGGGGCTGGCAGCTAGTGTGCTCCTGACCCCAAACACAGAGGGGCAGGCGGGAGCCAGTTTGCAAGGGGAGCTGGGAATGTGCCTCTCTATTTGAGCTCTCAGTAAACAACATGCCATTGATTTGTGCAATATAGGACGTGGCAGGAGACCAACATCAATACTGCCTTGGGCAGGGAAGTTGGTTCTATTGCCTGCCAATTGCAAGATGACTAATAATCAATGAAATTACAAACAGACTGTAAATGAATGCTACATGTGGAATGTAATTCTGCAAAAATAATACTAAAGAATAGTCAAGAGGTTTGGCAGGGGTATAAATCCTCATGCTTCAGGGCTCAAATGAACCTCTTAACTACTGGCGGTCAGGAGGGAATTTGCCCCAGGGCAGAATATCTCATTACTGCTTCCTCCTGGGTTTCTTGTATTTTCCTCGGAATCAGTGGTATCAATCAGGATCAGACAGGTGTGGTATTGGGAACTGTGTCTTTAGTGGTTGAGCACAGCCAGTTGGAACAACCAGGCATAAAATAAAGCAGATATTTTGCTAAATCTTAAGCTTTGAATGATCACTGAACTCGAGGGGCAAGCCAGTCTGGCAATTTATCCACACCTTTGTAACACAGCTCATAGTTAATGCCATGGAACATGCAGGCTACGTCTACACTGGCCCCTTTTCCGGAAGGGGCATGTAAATTTCAGCAGTCGTCGTAGGGAAATCCGCGGGGGATTTAAATATCCCCCGCGGCATTTAAATAAAAATGTCCGCCGCTTTTTTCCGGCTTTTAAAAAAGCCGGAAAAGAGCGTCTAGACTGGCCCCGATCCTCCGGAAAAAGCGCCCTTTTCCGGAGGGTCTTATTC